TCCTACAGCCTTTCCATCCATCTCCTCATCACCTGCTACCCCAAGGGTGTATTACAGGCAGACTCACTGGAGAGGAATGGGTTAAAAAGAGAGCCTGAGCTACTTTCTGTCTACCTCATGTGTGTCTGTGTGTGTGTGTGTGTGTGTGTGCATGACGTAAGGTTAAATATTCTCTTTGTGGTGTGTGTGAGGCTGTGTGTCACGACTGTCATCGACAGCCTCTCCACTCTCTCTTGTATTGTGTCCAAACCTACTATTTTCCCTCTTTCAGTCTTCATGTTTTATCTGCCTCTATTTTCTCTGCTTTTCCCCTTTAGCTCCCCTTTTACCCTCTTGTCTTCCTCCCTTCACTCACTCATTTTTTCCACCACTCTTTTCTTTTTCCTCCTCCCTCTTTTTACTCTTTGTTGTCTTGTAGCAGATGGCAGCGTGGGGCAGCAATAGCAGCAAGAGAGCAGAAGCAAGAGTGTAAGCAAGAGATGGGGGAGAGGAGAAGGGAGTTGTGGAAAGAGGAGGAGGTAGAGAAAAGAGGTGGGGGTCAGGCAAATGGAGAGCCTGGTTAAGGGGCCCCCTCAGAGGGAGTGTGTGTGCATGTGGTAGTGTGTTGAATAGGGACAGAGGGGCAGGATACAAGAGCTTACTATTAAGATTTGACTATAATAGGGAAGAGACAGACAGACAGATAAATAAATAAACACAGAATAGAAAAATAATTTTCCTCTGGGAAAGAGCAGATAATATAAGATGTTGAATACATTATGAGTTATTGCATTTTTATCAACAGAAATGTAAAAGTCTAAACCCAACCATAAGTATTATTTCACCAGTCACATTTTACATTTACATCAGAGGCCTCTCTAAAGAGGTAGCCATGTTGGATCACCATGTTTTTTCATTAGTCCTGAATACACAATAATGTTTTTTCTTCATGCTTGAACAGACATTACAGTATAAGGTCAGAAATATTAGCTTCATTACAGGATGTTGCTAAATATTACACTGCTAACCTTTTATAAAACTTTGCTTTGCCAAGTTAGGTTTGTGTAATTAATGTGAGAAACTGAGGTGACAGTAAACATGGCATTTTAATACCAAATTTGATAAAACATAGGAATGCAAAGAATTAACAATGTGATTTTCTGTTGAAATAGTTAATGAGGCTTTCTAACAGTCAGTAAGGACATAATAATGACTTGGAAACTCTGCAATTACTGTTTAGTATAGGTATATATAGTATAGTATAGTATAGTATATGTTTGATTAATCACTAACCTGCTGACTGCATAATAAACCAGCAATTTTAGATAATGTCAGCCGGTCAATTGTAAATATATGTGTGTACATATTGTGTTTATTTATGACAGGAAACATTTGAGGACACGCTCATTATGTCATATTTTCAGTCCACGGTCACAAATGACTGGTAGATTAATTGAAATAGTAAATGTCTGATTAATTGTTCATGCGGAGGGTGAGGGAGTATGAAAGGTTGGCAAGGAAAGTGGCGGATTACAGAAACCACCTATGGTTTAACCTGAGATGCAGGCAGACTAGGATCTTTTGTAAAACCCTGTCACGTGTCACGTGCGGGCATCGCAGGAAGCAGGCAGGACCCAAATGCAGTACTGGTGAGACTCTTTCTGGTGCAGGTAGTTTTATTTACAGAGTCCAAATTAACAAAACACGAAGAACTAACAGGCATGGAATTCTCTTTGGAACACGAGGAAACACAGAATAGGAAACTCACAAAGATCTAACACACTGATCCAACACACACAATGATCCAAAAACACACATTCACAATCACAATGATCCAACACAATGATCCAACCCCGACAGAGTGAGGGAGAGGGGTATATATACACAGGTGACACAAGTGAAGCTAATTAACAACAGGTGAGTGTGATCCCACAGATTACCCCACAAAGACAACAGGAAAACACGGAAACAGACAGACATGACAGTGACCCCCTCCTAATGGACGTCCCCCGGACGTCCAAAAGCCTACCACCAACCCTCTGGGTTGGTTGGGTGGGAGGGATACCAAAACAGATAAACTGAAATAAGGTCTATTCAAAAACATCAGAAAAACTAGGCACAAGGGGAAAAAAAAATCGAAGAGAGAAAAAACAAATTCCAGGCCCAAGTACCCCTATACTTGGCCTGGCCCTTTTTTGTACCTTGGTCTAGGGAACTTGTGTCTCTGGTAAGGAGTCCCTTCCCTAGACCAAGGCATACCAATAGTCACAAAAGCTCCCCCAGCCAGACCAAGAACTGCTGAGGGAGCGTCAGTCACTGAGACAGAAACCTCCGAGGGTGCAACGTCCCCAAGCCCCCTCGGAACCACTGGAGATGTGACCATCGTCGTCCTCCGAACCACGGGGGGGGTGGCCCCCCCGGCCCCCCGCA